AGTAACAGTAAGCTTTTATAAATATTAAATTATTAAAAGTTTGATATAAAGAAGGTGCATTTACATCCTAATTCTATTACTACGTATGAATTTTATAAAATAAATGTTTTTATTCTTCTTGCTTTTCTGCTATATACTTCTCAATAATATTTCTCTCATCCTTTTTAGACCATCTTTTCCTTCCATTTTAATTTCCCATTTTTTTGTACCATTTCCTGTTATTCCACATCTCGCAAAAATATGTTCGAGCGTCTTTGGTTCCAATTTATACAGCCTGCATATTTTCTTCTCTTCTTCTTCTTCGCAGTACCTTACCGCCCTATTCTCACTTTCCAGTTTAAATCTAATTCCCTTTCACTCTTTGTTCTTTCGTCTTTCAAATAATTTGGTTTTTCGCCCCTTTTTTTCCAGCTAAAGAAAAAAAGGAAGGAATACATAGAAAAAGAAGAAATGAGAACAGAATACTATGAATATAAGAAAAAATACAAAAAAAGTAATAGAAGAAAGAAAAAGCAAGATATTGAAAAAGATTACATAGAAACAAGAAAGGACAGAACGGCAAAACGTTCTGGGGATTAATTAATGGACAAAGAACGAAAAAGGAAAGCATAAGTAAAAATATAAAGATGGAGGGAGGAATGGATTGAGTACTTTTCCAAACAATTGGGAGGAACAATGGTAGAAGAAGAAAGAAATGAAAAAAGTAGGGATAGGGAAACAACATTAAAAGAAGTAGAAGAAACAATCAAAAAGCCAAAAGAGAAAAAGGCGGCAGGAAATGACAATATTAAAAATGAGGCATGGATGTACGAGCGACTAGAAATAAATAGGGATTTACAAGCAGTACTAAATGAGTTATAGAATTGAGATGAAGAACTTCCAAAAGAACGAAAAATAGAAATAATAAAGCCAGTTTACAAGAAAGGAGACAGAAATGAGGTGAAAAATTACAGAGGAATAATACTCAGAGCACAGATTACAATATCTACACTGAAATACTTTGAGAAAGACTTGAGAAAGAATTAGAAGATAAAAGGTACTAGAGAAAAAACAAGGCAGTATTGACGCAATCTATGTAATAAAAACAGCCTGTGAAGCAAAATTAAAAAAAGAAAAGAGCGAAATTTTCTCCTTTTTTTGCGAACATGAAAAACTCAAAAGGGACATGATATGGAAAATCCTAGAAAAACTAGAAATAGGTAACAAATTAAGAGAGACAGAATAATAGAAACGTACGAAGAAACTTACTTTAAGATTTAGGTCAACGAGGAAAAATCCAAAAAAAATTCAATGAAAGAAGGAATAAGACAAGGTTGTCCACTAAACACCGCACTTTTTAACGTGTCATTTACAGATTTAGAAAACAAATTAAGCGCAGTACAATAAGGAGGAATAGTAATTCGTAGAACAAAAATCTGGTCAGTTTCATATGCATATTATTAGTAAACAACGAAAGAAGGCTGAAAGAGATGATGCAAAAATTCAATAAATATATAAAAGAGAGACGGCTGAAATTAAATACAGTTTAGTCAAAAATTTAAAGGGTAAAAAATCAGGAGGAAGAAAAAAGAAATTAGAATTCTAGTGAGGTTTTAAGTGTAATTACTGTATTGTAGTGTAATTTCAAGAAAAATAACTTTTTATTTTGAGTAAATACGACTCAATTTAATATACATGGTATTATAATTAAATTTAACTTAAAATGTATCTACATATGTACGTACCTAAGTATTACAGAAAATTAATAGATTTTATCTATATTAAACGATTAGTTTTTAAAATATATGCACAACGAAGTTTTATATTACTCTTTAAAGATCCTTTTATTTTATTTCAGAACCTTGAACTTGTTCCAAAGTCATTTACCGCTTTTCAAAAATTTTTCCTTTTCCTATACAAAGTAGAATTTTCGCAACTATCTTTAAAATAATTTAAAGAAATTGTAGCTTGTTGCGAGAATTTTTATTGAGTGATGACAAAGTAAAGTGTTTTCATAGTTTGCATTAGAAATGCTCTAAATACTTTTTGCCCATTGTGTTACTTCGAGTGTATACTCGCTCTCTTCGATTCTGGAACGTCTAAAAATCGCTGATAGATGATCAATGTAGAATACGTTTCCGTTTGAATTAAGTCGTTTTTAATGCGTGAAATTTTAAGTTAGCCTAAACTCTCAAAGATGTTTGAAGTATTAGCAGCTTGATATTCGTTCTACTTTTGAATAAAAAGGAAATACCGACTCGTTACGAGAACAAGGAAGAGCCGAAAACGATTTGCATTTTTATTTCCAATGATTCAGTGAAGTAGAACTGAAACCACTTCCATGAGACTCAAAGTAAGTCAAGACTTATCTCGCAACATTAATAGGTAACTGTTATACAATGAAGAAAATTTTGTCTTTTCCATTAATATCTTTCAAGTATTTAGTTATATGATATTCCCACAGAATGTACATTTTGTTATGAAAGACGGTGTAAAAGTAGGAAACCAATCCGGATATCAAGAATCGGGTGATAACTGTATGATTATTATACGATGAATGCACTTGGTAATAATAAAACGCTGAAAATGTTAGATAAAAACGTATAGAAAAAATTCAAAAATATGTACCTTTATCTAACAAAAGAAATGTGGAATCAAAACACAATCAGAATTATTCCAATAATAATTTCATCAATAGACGTTACACCCAGAACATGCAAGTTTAGTCGAATTGAAACCATCAACTCGCACACGTACTATAGGGTTGTTCGGAAAGTCATTTCGTTTTTTTCTTTGTGGAAATGAAAGACAGTTTTCGTATAATAAACAAATACTTTATTAAATTATATATTGACCGTNGCTATCTTTTTGTTAAAAAATATTATCGAATCATATTTAAATATTAAAAAAAAGGAGTTTGTGGTATTTGTGGACTTAAAAAGGGCATTTTATACGGTAGACAGAGGGGAATTGATAAACATGTTACGGATGGGTAAAATTGAAGAAAGGTTAATTGGGAAAATAATGGAAATACATAGGGAAACTGAAGGGGTTGTAAGATTAAGTGGTAAGGAAACAAGGAAATTTTGGATGGAAAAAGGCGTAAGACAAGGTTGTAAGCTGAGTACACAACTCTTTAATATATACCTAAGTGATTTAGAGAAAGAGATCAGTAAATTAAGGGAGGGTGGGGTAGTGGTAGGTAGAAAGAAAATATGGACCTTGTCGTATGCTGATGATATTGCATTAATAGCCACGAACCATGGTGCATTAAAAGATATGATGGGAGCGTTGGAAAGATATTTAAGAAGGAAGTGTTTGGAGTTAAATGTTAGTAAGAATGAGTATAAGGAATTGGGGGAAGTAAGGGGTAGAGAGAGGAAAGAAAAAAAGGTGATTAGGTGAAATGGGAAAGAGATACAAAAGGTTAAAAAATAAATATATCTAGGTTATGCTATGGGAGAGAACAACAATAGGAAAGAGTAGAGGTACGTGTCCAACTAGTTTTAGGACCTTATGATGATACTAAATTATTTTGGATATAGTTATTGTATTTACTTTTTCTCGTGAAGAAGAATACTTCAATATGGCCGGTTCTCCACTAACCGGCAAAATCACTATCCAATATATCTTTGGTTTTTAGTTCAAGATTTTCATTTCAGTAAAAGTGTTTCACTTAAAAAAACTGTTAGTTCATCTATTGTCCTGCACCTAAGCACAGTACGTAATAACAATAAAACTACAAGCACCAATGAATTTCGAATTTTGCCATGTATGTGAAGGTATTTGGTGCCCCAATCTATATGGAAATTGGGAAGTAATATTCGAATACTTAATTTAGGTACTTTTAATACTATTCGATTCTGCATATAAATTATAGCCACTGAAATACCGACTAATCGTGAGACAAATTACAAAACTGCTGCTAATTGTTATCTCATTTATGTATTATTAAAATAAGAAACGATTTAATTTCAGGGAGGTCAATTCATACTTACACTTGTGGATTTCTTTGGAGGGACGTTCGTTATATTCATAGCTGCTGTTCTTGAAATTGTTGTTTTGATGTGGGTTTATGGTAAGTATTACTAAAAGCCTTTCATTTCGGTTATCTGTTTTAAAGTCAGTCACTTTATTATGTCAATCTTCATGACGATCCTGAATTCCATTTATCTATCTTTTGTAGAAATTGAATATTATTCGTTATTTGGGATTTCTATAGTTTGTTGTTCTTTTCTGTATTGAAAAAGAAAAGGAAAAGAAGAGCTTATGCATCTAGGCTTGAATATTATTGATTCACCAAAGTCTACATTTGTAAAAAAGGGGGACGCTTATACTAATTTGTAATTCTCAAAAACAAATTGCCTAAACGCTACCCTTTTGTTTATAATGTTCAAATTACAAAAGCGGTTGCTCCAGTAATTGAATAAAATTGTTATTATCTTGGTGTTTAAAAAGTAATAATTATGCCTTTGAAAAGCAAACGCTTGTTTACATATTAAAAATTAGACATCATTAGTGGCATATCTCACATATTAGGATTAGTAAAGCATTAGGAACAAAGGCGTAAAAACAAAAACTAAAAATTTAAAGTATACTTTCACTGAACAATTTCTTCATTTCTTTAATACATGAAAAATTGACAGGTATACATATTAAATATTATAACATTCCAATAATTATACACTATATCATATCAGTACTCTGGAAAAATTAAGGGAGAAGAAGGTACATCAAAAAGAAATAGAATAAGCCACCTCGCATCACCCTCTGATGTACATAAACATGAAGGTAATGATCCTACTGAATGTCCTAATCTCTCCTGCAATGATGACTAGGATTACCTAGCGTAATTGTGTAACGCGGAGAGTTCCGTACGCTAGCATGGGACAGCGTGACAACGGTAACGGTACAGTTCGTAAAAGTAACGGTGGTACATTGTGGTGTGCCGAATACGCTCATGGTTATGGTGTATATATATAATAATGGTACAGATGCAGGGAATTCTCCCTTAAAATCCTCCACACCGTACTACGCGGAATTCTTGATCACCGTACAATGACTAGGATACTCAAACCGGGATTGTCTTCTATTAATCGCGTAAAGTGCTTGCACTACATCTGTGCGGTACCACACTTTCTGTGCATTCTCATTGTACCGCCCGCATGTAGCTGTCATGTGTACATGTTCTACGTGCGAATACATTGTTTTTTGCTTGATATTTCCAAAATAAACTTATTTTTGTATTTTGTGGTAATAGTAGTAATTTTACTAATCGAATTGTATACCTCGTTTATTTTCTCTAGCGATGTGCCCCTTCCAATCTCTTAGATGCGCGCTGGCAAAATCGTAGGTAGAGAGAAAAAATCTCATTATACTCTCGGCTCTTCTTCATTAAGCATACATTTTCATACAGTACCTGCCAAAAGTTTCGTTCAATCATGATAGTATTTAATATGTCTTCAAATATAAATAAACATCTCGTTGATATTTTCAGTAGTAATTGATACCAATAACAGCACATTTGAAGCAATGCAATTGTAGTGAATAAAATGGTCAATTTTTCCGTGCAGTACTGTAAAGATTAATAAGAGTTTGATCGAGAGTTGTCTTCTTTCTTTTCTGGCCTAGTGCTGTTCTTATCTACTTTGCCCCGGTCAAACTAAAGGTCACATCGCTAGAGAAACGAAGTATAATTAGTATTATTAGTCGTTTAAGTGGTATATCTGCATCCCAGCTGCTGCGAAGGTCACGAATAGATACGTGTGTTTCATCACTTGACGCTTGCAGTAACGAAGAGCGATAAAATACCGTTTATTACCTTTCAAAAATTCCAGAATGCTTATCAGATATAGTGTTTAAATGAATTATGTCACCATCTACTATTATTTGTTGCTAACTGAATTATTTTAAATGTTACACAAGGTCGTTAGCTGTAATCAATAGATACGGTAATTATTAGTACCTATGTTGCTAACTTCCACATTAGGTTTACATTTAGATATTTACCTATATTCTGTTTGGTATAAGATTAGGGAACTCCAACTAGTAGTAGGGGTAAACTTTTATTAGTGGTTATTTTCGAGGTTTATACTATTCTTTTGGCATATTTTAATATTCGATGCTTCGTAAAGGTTCAGTGTATTGCTATTTTTAATATTGTATAGCATTTTGATAAAATTTTGTAAAACTCAATGTTTGAAATGTAAGCAATGTACTGATAAACCTCTTCATTCCTTGCATTCCTTTATTGCTCAAAAGTGTTCTTTTAATCTTCTCTTTATTGCTCCACCGGTTGCCCTATATGTATACAGTGTAGGTATTAGATCATCACACATTATCTTGTAAGCATCGCTTTTATCTTAAATAACTCGATATTATATAAAATATAAACATTATAATATGCAGTATTTTCGGTTTGGTTGTTTTTTTCTCGAAACTACTTATGGCGTGCTGATGCGATCAAATAAGATCGAAATCGCGATCTAGTCTGATAATGTTGATAAATTACTGACCAAGAGTCTATATATTTATTGTTTTCAATATGTTATCCCTCCGAGTAGGTATATCGTTTAACTACTTGTGGAAATATGTAACATACATTCCTGTTTAATTGCTAGAAAACGAAAAATGTGGATCATCCCTAACTCCAGTCTCCAAAGGACAAAAGATCATGTTCATGTTAATATGGTTGTTAAAGGAGAATACCAAATCATTCTCCGAAATATATATTTTACTTTTCGTACTTTTTCACAGTGTCTTCTTTTTTATAATTCTAGGAGCCACTAATTTCTGCGACGACGTGGAATATATGACAAAAAGTAAAGTAAGCATATATTGGAAATGGATGTGGGGTTTCGTTACACCAACAGTAACCATTTTAATATTTGTCTATTTTGTTGCCACTATCACTGAAGTAACCTATGGTTCTTATACATATCCTAGGTCTGCTTTGAGTTAGTACAATTTTACACTATAATGAATACCAATAACTAAATGGTTTCGTTGCTAACGCTTTACATTTTTTTGTTAGTTTGTGGGTGGATGATTGTAGCTGTCAGTTGTATTGCTATTATTTTCATGGCCTTAAAACCAGTTTTCAAGAACCGAAAGTTGGGATTTCCCGAGGTATGTAATTTAAAGTAATTGGTAGCATCCAATAAATTGCTGATCAAGAACTTAATGTTCTTCATGTAATTTGTAGTTTTATGTCTGCAAAAAAAATATATTGGCCAATTTTTAACCACATGATTAAGTATCCTCATAAATGAGTTTAGGCCTTCACTGACGACCTATTGGGTATAGTAATATGTATTATGTTTCGGGCATTCTGACCGTCTTTTGGGAATTTTCGTCCCGACGTTTTCGCCTGTAGAGGGTAGCGTAGGGTCGTCTAGGAGCCTAAGTCAAAGTTGCCTTGAAAGTAGCGTTGTAGTGACAACGGTCAGAAAGTCCGAAACCTTATACATACTTATCCTATATTATTAATTCGTGCTATGGTATTTTTTTTTGAGATACTGTAAAAATGTTAACATTTGTCAGTATTACTATAATCACAAGAAACAGGAATATTTTGTTTGAAACAAGAATTTAAAAATGACTACCTATTTTTGTTAATTTAACTCGGAAGTTCATATAACCTTTGAAAACTGTATCAAAATATTTACTCTACGTTTTGCATTTGACCAAAAATTTCTGTAGATGTTCATTGAAAGCTGTCGCTCAACCAAATGGAAACCAGATAGTTCTAAAGCAACCATGGAATGGATTCAATTTAAACAGGCAAAAAAAGAAGAAAGAGAGAAGAAAAATCAATCTTGGATAAAACAAAAATTAGCATTTCTCGCTGGAAAATGATCCTTGATTTTGTAAATGCATTAATGTAACAATTGTTGTATAGATAAATTTAAATTTGTTAATAATAATATAATTTAAGAGAATGTGATTTGTTTTTCCGTTTTTTCGTTTTCCCTTCTCTATAATGATAACAAAATAATTCAGTAAAAACAATTACGAAATACCTATTTTTTAATTAAAAAGTTACTTAATGAAGTTTGAAGAATTGCTGGAAATATTAAAGAATAAATAATAATATGCTGATGTTTGGAAATATTGACTAATTCATAAGGAATAATGAACAATAATAATGCTTGGGAATATTATTGCATCACACTGCAGTTTTTTTTAGAAGTTTTACAATAATTTAAATGATAGAAATGTTTGTTGTTCGTTCATTTTGTGGACGGCTACATTAATTGAGAATGGTTTGTATAATGGGTTGTCTACTGTAGGTTCCTATCGTTCGCAATAATCGATAAATACATCACTTTTCCTCAGTTATTCCCTTACAACGAATTAATTATATCAGGAAGGTTTCGAATTTTCGACGGAATTATTTTTTGTCCTTAAATAAACATTATATTATACTGTAAACTATAGCTAGAAACCACAATTACAGAAATTGAGCATATGCATGCTTTAAAGAGTGCTGACTGTTCTAAAATTCCGGTTTTGGATAACTTTCATTCTAAGAAAGTCAAAACCTTAAAATTCTGGAATTTTATTTGAGTCACAGCTTGTTTGAATAAAATATTAAATAACAAATATAAGTTTTTTGCTTTCTCTAGTGCATTTGAAATTTAATATAATT